GCAATATTATTATAATATTATAATATTGTATAATTATTATATTACCAGAATCTAACTTCTGGATTTTATTTTTTTTAATGAAAGCAAAATGAATCATGGTAATATGTTTAGGAATAAAATATTGTTCATACCATGACAATACCACATTAAAAAAACAGGAAATCAGTGCATCTTAAAATTTCTTCCATTTATTTTGCACTAATATTGTTAATATTATTTTGGCAATTCTATGTCACAGCTTATGAAAAAAAATCTATTTTAAAAAGCAAGCATGAGAACTAGCAACTATTTTAAATTTAAGTCTTATGGTGAAAAGATTCCGTTTCACTTCGAAACAGAAAATACACAATTTAACAATTTTAAGAGTCTGCTATCCTTCAGATAAATTGACTTCCTTCAGATAAATTGACTTCATATAAGTAATCTGCCTTCTTTCTACAACTAAAAAAATGGAGTGGTTGGAGGTGCTAAACTCTGGGAGAGGCAAGAAATTCACAGATATACCAATAGTTTATGTTTATATAGTAATATAATTGAAAAACAGTATTATCAGTTAACATAGATAGAATAAAAAGCTAAGATGCATACTGAAAAACAATAGCTGTGAATTTCAAAACAGTTAGTAAACCTTATTCAATTCAAATAGAACAAATACAACTGTCCTTTTGAACTTTTTATGAATATAAGACACAATATTTAATCTTGTTTAAGCATCTGAACCTTGACATGTCTCTTAGCCCCTAGGCAAAGAATTACTGTATTTGAAAGACTGTGTTTAACAGTGCTGAGGAATTCACTGAGACTTATATCAAGGATAAATACTCTACTCTAGAATCTGAGTTTTGATTTAAGGTATTCTTGTTGCAGTAAAGATACTGTAGCTAAATAATCACTCATAAATTTAAACAAAATGTTTTTTTTCCCAAATGTTCTGTTTCTAAAAAAAAAATAATCTGTAACAATCTGCTATAAAAATAAGAAAACATTCTATTAAAAATTTATTTAATAATAATGTAACAATTATACAGCTGCCACTGGGTGGCACCAAACACAATGGATAGAAGAGTGAACGTACTTTGCTTGTAGCTCCTGAATCTGTTCTTCTTTTTCCTGGACTTCGCTTTTTAGTGACTTAATAGTGGTCAATTGCTTAGTGATTTCATTAGTCGAATTCTATAGTGCAAAATATTAAAATATAAAGACAAAATATTATCGTAGTCAACAGTAAATTTGTCTGAAATAATGGGCTGTGTAAATTTCTAAATATTTTATAAATGTTCTTAGAAATTCATTGGTACAAAAGACGCACTCTTACTTTCTAGCAATACTTAAGAAAAAGTAAATTCCTTAAAAAATATTACCAAATTCAGTACTTTTCCACCACTCTAATAATGTATGATTAAGAGATGCCCCCCAGGACACCTACAAGCCCACTGCTTGCTCCCCAGGAGCACATTTCCTCTTGAATCAGATGGTCAGCTGAAAAGGTAACAGAAAAGCAATACAACTGGATCTTCATTTGAACTACATATTTGAATGGTATAATTCTACAGCACAAGGCGCCTATATCTACAGAGCAACAATTCTGAGTAATCCCTTTCACCTTATGCATTTAAAAATACAAGACAATCTACAACAGAAGTTGTTTTTGTGACCCTTGAAATTCAGAGCACGAGACAAAGATATTTCCATGGCCACACTAATACAAATCCTACATTTCAGTAACAAAAAGGTATGATTCTAATTTTCAGGCACATTTAGTTCCAATGAAGATGAATTATACAGTTGTTGGCCTTTCCTCATTGTATGAAGTAGGAAAAAAAAAAAAGCCTCAACTCTTTCATGCAAACACCTCCAAGATTTAAATATTGAAAAACTGAATCTCTCTACAGAAATAAAAATAGGAAATTTAACTCAGTAGCCATTTTAGCAATCTGAGCATGTGCACTGAGTGCCATCGCTGAAAATGGCAGTTCAAACATAGCACATATAGAGACTTCAGAACTCCAAAAGGTGTTGCTAAAAGATACAGATGTGTTAACCATATGCCATATGTGTGCATATATGCATGCAGGTTTAGCCACTGTACTAAAGCTTTTTAAGCATTATGTATAAACAATAATTGAACAGATCAGACCTGCTGTTAACAAAGATACTTCAGGAGAATTTCTCTGCTCAGTGCAGAGTTGTAACACCTATTAACATTAATGGGAGTATTGTACATATAACCCTGTGCACCTCAAAGGGAGTATATATTCTTGTGTGCATAGTTAGACGTAAAATACTGTTCTTAATAACTTGTCTAGTCTATTTACTATTATTATAATGTGAGGTATGACTAGAAAATTGTTAAAATGATGTATACTAGCAGAATATTCCCGAATTTCCTGAGACCTGTTTGTTGAGCCCGAGCTTCATTAGCATGAGGCATAGCACCCAGTTATATGGCTTACACACCAGATATGAACTTTAATACTTAGGTTAGCCTCTGCACATGCTCAGAGGGAGAGACATATGCTTACAGTATTTTGCTTCCAAACTCACCACCCACGCTTAACACAATTGTTCCTATTGGCAAAGATACAAGAAGTCATCACAACATAAATAAACATTGCAAAGATAGCTTAAGAAAAAAAAAACACAGCAAAACAACCTAAAAAACCAGGTACTTTGAGACTCTGAGCTACAAGGAAAGCTTTGGCTGCTACCACATTGGGCCATTTAGGAGAATAACTTTGTATCTCCTTTTAAAGTAAGTTGCATAGCCTGGAACAATAGTTGACAACTTTCACAAATTTATTCTGCTAAAAATGACTTAGAGGACTTAAACTTTTATTCAAAGAAATTTAGGTCAAAATAAGGCTAATAATTTTAATAACTCGATCTAAGCAGCTTTTAAGATCCTTATAGGCAAAACTCATCCAATTCATCAACCAGATAATTTACTCTAGTAATCTGGATTAGGGGTCACAGTCTATGTTTATTTTAAATGTAGTTTTGCACACATGGTTTTTTTTTTACACCAAAAATGTAATACATCTTTAACAAGGAATTAAAAGTCATGTTAGTATTTTTGATTTCAGCTTTACATGTGCTTGCTGCAGAAACAAAAACCACTTAAAATTTTCGGCAATGTATTTTGCAGTTCACAGGTAGCAGAAAAAGTAGGCTTCTAGCATGATTGCGACTCTACTAAAAAAAAAATTCCTCATTTTTTATTGTTCTTACTTTCATAGAGCAATTGACGAATAGGTTTCTGGATAATGAGGACACTCATCTAAAAGGAACAACTCTAATTAACAGAAATTACCACTCACTAGTAACAAAAGCAGATTAGTCAAGCCCAAATCTAAAATCAACACACAACAAGTCAGCGTGGATGGTTTCAAGATCTCTTTCTCATAATTAAAGTAGATCAAATTATGTGCCTTTCATGGCTGCTCCCTGCTGCCCTCATCTCTTTAACAATCTGACCTACCTTTACTAATCCCTGAATTTAGATGTTACGCATCCAGTGTGCTAGAGCCAAGATCTATAATACCACGATTACCATCAACAGCTAAGCAGTCTGAGCACTAACCACATCTTGTGTGCTAGCACAGCTAATCCAGTACCTGGAGTCAGAGTCAGCTATATCTCTCATGCAATATGGCCTTTTCTTCTGGCTGATCCTTTGGCAGCCAGCTTGCTAGTGTGTCGTTTCTTCTAGAAGCAACAAACTGTACCGTTTTGACCTTTTATCTTTCCTCAAATATTAAACACGAAATCGGGGGTGGGGAGAGAAACCAGCTTTAACACATTCTTTTGCACATATATTTTCTTCAGTGAGAAGAGAGGGAGAATTATTATGTTCAGGCCAGACCACCTGCTGAGAAAGCTCTCAGGTCAACACAGTCCAGCATGTACATCATCCACATGTAAGATAATCACCAGAGACTTAAAAATTAAATCATCAACAAGTTAGTGTTTTCCTACCAGTTAATCTACAAAAATACAAACAGAGTGATGTCTCTTTGAAGAGTAGTAGGGCCATATAGGTAACAATGTAACACTGTTACATTACAGGAGCTGCCCCATCAGCTCAAATTATTTGCTTCCCTTTAAAGGACAGCTAATTCCTTGCTTCTTTCTTAAAGTAAGCACAGAATCAACACAATTTTCATTGAAGTAATTCCACAGTACCTTCCCACAAGACGCATTTAACCTTTGTGTGAAAACCCAGCAAGCCTCCCTGTCTGGTCTACTTGATCTGTAAAAACTGTGTTAATTGTAACTTGTAATTCTCCTGCTTGACTACATTTCTACTTAACATCAAAGTTTATCAAATACCTCACTTGCTAATCATTGGCTAAGCTATATAAATTATATGTGTGAGTGAGTATATGTATATCTGCTTGACCCAGTTATGAAATACTGTTCGTAAGAATTATCTTTAGTACTAGATAATCTGTTCTGTCACCTTTAGTTTGCACTGCAGCTGTTTCATCTCTAAATCAATGTTCTTTGAAGGAGCTGGTGTGGTTTCACTCTTGCCAGCAGTTTGAGACAGATGTTCTCTCAACTTCAATTTTCCTTGTAAATCTTCATTTTCCTGTTGCCACTTGGCCAGGCTGGAGGTCAACACCTGTTTTACAAACAGAAGAAACAATCACAATTGCATCCTAAAAATATTGCTGCTTGATCATATGAGACACTTCTGTGGTTCAGAGTTCAAGAGGAATGAAACAGTCTATATTATCTGTAATTATACTGCATAGATGTTGGTTGAATACTCTAGGCCATGGAAAGATCAAATCCTGTAGGGAAGAGAAGTCAACTAATGTTACAAACAAGCAATTTTTAAAAGGTAAGCTAATTCGGTTTTGACTGCACACATTCCTAATTTTACCACAATAGGCAAAAATTATCATACAAAACTGTTAACTATAGTTACTGTTGAAACCTGTCTACGTCGAGCCTCTCTGGGATTCTGCAATTATTTCTACAGAGAGCATGAAGAAACACCAGGATGTCTCAGACACCAGTGCGTATTAAAGGTGGTTAAATGTCAAATCTGTTTTAATGGTGACCACTGTAAGCTCACTTGAATTGCTGTGTTGACAACCACTATAAAACATACACTCTCCTCTTGGCTTTTGTTTTGATATTTGTAGGGCTTGTAGAGGTTAAAGAAAAGTGGACCAGCTGCACTAAATATCTTCTGGTTGGCTGGTCTTTACTCATGTTGCGCTATTTCTTCCCTTTCACATATATGCACCATAGCCAGAGAACCGCATATTCCATAACCTTGACTCTAGGGCTGAGGTACTTAAGTGGTAAAAGCCAAGCTGGAGCAGGACAGGATAACAGATGTTAGTTGTTTATTCCACTGGGTAGGTCTTACCACCCTTTACTGCAGCCAAAACGCTTCTCATTTAACAACATAAACGCTAAGTCCAATTAGCAGACAAGGCTTATTAGGGATTTAGTTCAAATAAATAACATGCAAACAAACTCTCAGTCTTGATGCACTTGATTGACAACTGACAAGACATATTCAATCTTTGTAACAATATATTTCACAGTACTCCTTGTAGAAGTAATCTTTTAAATAAAATATTTGTTTGTAATTCAAATAATATTGAATGTTCTGCAAAAAGGGTAACAGAAATAATCTTCATGCTAGTGGTTAAGTTTCATGAATTTGTAGTTAGCTGAAAGCCACTAATGGCCTAACAGCTCTCTGCTCCTCATTATTCCAAAGAAGATTGTGATATGGTAGTTTAACATAAGGAACAATTACGCAAAATGGTATTGAAACCTCTCAAAGGGTAAAAAAGCTTCCTTTATGAAGAATCCTGATAAGAAACTGGAGAAGGTATTACAACTTCAAATGACTAAATGTGTGTCTGATTACATCCCGGTACACAAAATAACAAGGTGAGAGAAAGTTATGGACAGTATTGTATTTCTAAGGATTTTACTATTAAACTCAAAACTATATTTCTTCCTGTCTGCTGTTATTAGAAAAATACAATATATATACCTGTATTTATATACACATACACTTCCACAATAGTCAACTGCAGATCACATATATACCAAGATAAAAAACTTACAGTCATGTTTTACCCTGTGTGAATGACATGATAATGCTAGTAGTTTTTGCATTAGCTTAAAATTATATTGTGGATACAAGAAAATGCATCCTATATTTAAAGTTAAAGGTCTAACACTATCTCATACTTACATGCATTTATTAAAGCCAATAAGCAGTTTACACATGTATCTGAGATCAGTACTGTTCTTAGTAAAGGGGCTAGTCATTCCATTCTCTTTTGCATCTGCTGTTGTTATTGAACAAGTGATAAACAGTGTTCAACCTATTTTCTAATTGGCTATTCCTTAATCTGACATACTATTCTCATAATTAATATAGTTTGAGTAAAATGCAAAATTAAGGATATGGTAACAAGCAGAAACAGTAGTAGTACAGGAAGATATAGTATAGAAAGATATAAAGATTAGGTTAATTTGTCCAGTATAGCCAACATTTTCTACATGCATGATTCAGTGCCTCTATAATAAATAATTCATAAAAAGAAGAGGAAAAAAACCCCACATAGCTAGATCAATATCTCTGATTAAAATAAGAAATGTCCCCATATCTCCCCAAGATAGCTTGTGACTCTCAGAAGTTTCTAAGGCTAATGCTGCTGCCAAAATGCATCTAATCTAAAATGCCAAGATTGCAGTCGCCACGTTCCCCAAAATTACAGCAAATATCTTGAAAAATAAGTGGTTTCATGGGACAGGTGCCAAAGAGGACTGTGCTACGTTAGTGATAGAATTTACTTAGGTGAGGGGGTAGAAAAAAAATTATTTAAAATATGAATGTACATGAATTCAGAAACAGCATCAGAACTACATGTGTGAAGTGAAAGTAATACATAACATACAACACAAACAGCCCCCCAACTTGCAAAAGCAGACAAAGCCAGACACACACCTGCAGAGATACCAAGAAGGTTGTCTCTTAAGAACTCTGGAGACAATGCAAATAGTGTTACAGAGCTGATACTCTGTATCATTATTCTTCTATTTGAAATATATTGAAAGGGTATGTGAAAATTCTGTATAAATCTACATATGATGTGAAAAACACCCCCCTTGCCCTGGCAAGATATTTATGCCTAAATGATATTCCTTGCATTTACTTACTTAAGAAGCAAGTTCATTACCTTGCTGTCCCTCACCACTTGCTAAGTTTTAGGTCAAGTGTCTTGCTCTTTTTTATTTTTTAGAGACAAGGAGTTTTTTATGTGTGTGCTACCATGCACACAAATCCTTAGAGACAAAGGATTTACTCCAGGGGAAGAGGTCACCAGGATGAAAGGTAGAATCTTAAACACTGGCTAGACCAGATGTTGGTAAAGGCAGACTACTGCTGTTCCTCCATGATGTAGCGGCCTTCATCTCCTGCACCTCCTCTGGAGTGTTTTGGCTTAACAGATGTTTATAGATTCAATATTTTAACATTGATCTATCTTACTCTCCTTGCTCCTGGTATACCCATGATACTCTGTTTGGCTGTACACAAAGGGATAAGTGATGAAATTTCAGTCTCTCTGTAGTCAGTACAAAACTTTGAGTGACTCAGCAAGGCTTTTTTTCCATAAGCCCTCTGCTCAGAGAGACAGCTACGTGGAAGACCCAACAGATTAACGCAGGAAGCTCCTGGAATAGTATATTGCTCCTTGGCATCACAACAACCCCGTGAGGAGCTTCCAGCTCAGTTTACAGCAGTTACCCTCCTACTGTAACTGGCATGCAGGAAAATGACATTTCAGTTGGTGGTGGCTGATACTGCACTGCTACAGCTGTACATGATCCAGACATTTATATTTGCAGAATGTCTTATATAGAACAGACTTCTAGGCAAAATTATGAAATGGGATGTAAATCAGGTATTCTTGAAACCCTTTTTAAGCAATGACATGATGTTTTATTGCTCATTTTGTATCACTCATGTTGTAATCCAACTATAATATAAATATCCTCAGATGGGGAAAAATCTTGCTTCAGTAGGTAAAGAAATACATTTGCTATATGCATAGCTCCTGTGCCAAGTTCTGTTTTAAAATCCAGCACTGCTCATCTGAAGACTTTAAACAGCTCTTTTCTCACAGCTTTAGCTTGACTATGAAAAACATGCAAGATAAGTTGTACTTGTCGCACACATAAACTATGAGAAGACTTTTCAAAAACGTATTTGCAGGCACAGAGCTAGGTATTTACGATTTAATGCACTCTATCAAATGCTATTATAACATAATGATAAACCTATTTACAATATTCATGGAAAAATTGAGTCTAACCCACTAATGTTGACCCTGTTTTGTTATCCTGAATCAAAATTTTCCTTTGTCTGATGGGTCAGAGAAAAAAAAGTAAAAATGGTATGTAGTTATCTGAAAATATGAAAAGATATACAAAAAGACAAAAAAACCCCAGCTGTGCTGCATATTTAACATGATCACATAGAGCAAAGGAAAATAACTCCACATGTTCAGTGAAAGCTTTATTCACGCAAGTGTTTTAAGTGGTTGATTACTTAGTATTCCAGACATGAAGAAAAAATATGAAATTGAAGTCTTTGGTGACTTAATATCCTACCCCTAAATTGAAACAAAGACCCCTCAAAAGCAAGAAAAAGTTTTAAAATGTGTAAGTTATTTGTCATTTGTTCTTTTGAAATTTTAGTAAAATTTACAGTATCACTGAGTTGCATTTTTTTTCCACAAAAACACAGTTATTAGCAGCTGACTGTTTCACAAAATGTCAAGAAAATGAAGGTAATATAGAGGACTTTTTGCCAGTGCTTTAGCTAGTTGTTAGACTTCAGTAGCCTTTAGAGACCATTAAGTACCCTTTGGCTAATTGGCCAATGGTAGATTAATCCTCTTTTTATTCTAGCAGCACTATTTTAACACCCTTTGCACTCTGTCAGTGTAGTATCTGAATGACAAAATAATATTGTGCATGAATAATAATAAGAAAAGTTAAATTAACATTTCATGTTTCACATGCCATACCTATGTGTCAGGAAAAAAACCCCACAACTCTTCAAAAGCCACTGACATTCAACTTTTTAAAACAATCTCCTGTTGACATCTTACTGAAGTGAATCTTCCTAATTACTGCTAATTGCCTATCAAGAAAAAAAAAATCTTTCCTTGAAGTGCAGTTGTCTAGTATAGATGAACACAGCTCCAATGTGCATAGTAAAGACAGGCATGACACCTGAGGTGTGCTACATTATTATGAGGTCATACTAAATATGGTTTGCAATGAACAAAGCAGCTTTTAAGGATGTTTAAGGCCCTGGAAATGTCAATCTCTCATAAAGTGTTTAAATTAGATCCCAGCAGAGAAATACAGATATCAGCATGCAGATAAGAGGTATATTTCTCATCTCAAGTATTTTACTAAAGAAAAAACACAGTTGTCCTATGCTTTAGAAAAACAATGTTTACACTATTATCTGCAGAATGGCCATTTCACACATACAAATTCTAAATTAAGCTATTATTTGGAATACAGTTGTAATCACTAACAATGACTTACCAAAGTCTTCGAATGTCT